ATTTCACGGTTTCAAAACCGCTAATATTTTCCGTTATACCGTTCCTGCGGTATGCGCTGTTTTTCATGTCTCAAAGACTGAAAGTGTAGGAATCCCTCAGGTTGAGTGCAGTGTAGAGAGTAACACGACCCCTCCTCCTCCTGTTGGTGCGAGCGAGCGGTCAGTCACGTGTGTGTAGGATGGACGAACTTAAGGAGCTTCCCCTGAAACTTACGCAATCAGCAACCGACCGTTTTTTGTCTTATTGCAAGCAACTCGTCTTTGTTCTGGACTTGCACAAACTACGTTGCAATGCAATCGTTTTCCAAAATGTCATTTATGTGAAAATGTGAAGTCTGTAAACGCCCGTTAACACAGGCCAGAGACGCTGAAGACAGACGCACAGAGAAAATCCTCAATATTGATTTGGGGGTTTATATGAATGTGTTTCTGAGGGGAACTGACTGTCTTAGTTTAAATGGTATTTTCTTTTAATCTTGTCTCTGTATAGTTCACATTAAAGCAGTGTTTCAGCGCAGCGCTGCTTTGTTTACAGTGGTAACCAAGGAAACACTGTATCTGGTGTTCCAGAAGAGCCGCCTCCTCTGTCAGAGAGTGACTCTGTATCTCATTCAGAGCTTGTCTGCTGTTTGTTTCATTCAGGCATGTAGTATAATTTCACAAAGCTAGTCAGAACAGAACATTCTGTTTTTGCTTCAAATTATTAAATCAAATTATGTATATGAAATTATATAACTTAATGATATGAAATGATATAAATGCTATGTATATGAATTATATAACTAAAATTAAATAACTGTAATTACAGATTTAGTTTAAATAAAGTAAATAAAGTCTTTGTGATCAGTATCACATTTGCACGGTTTCACGGTGTGATATTGCTTAACTATATGATGTAAATATGAGACAAAAACTCAAACAGGGGCATTTTTGCCCCATATCTTGAATTTTAGGGACATTCTAACTACATTCTCTAGGCTCCATCACGCAGTGAGTTGTTGCCCTGCCTCATATTTGTCATTAATCAGCTGTATGAAATGTCAGATGACCCACGTAGGTCTGGGGCAAGGCAAGTGCATTAAATGCGTTAATAATTTTAACGCATTATTTTTCACCGTAATGAATTAACCTAATTAACGCATTAAATCCCCAGCCCTAATATATATATGATTGTAATATCACAATATTGAGCCACTTAAAATCAGCCATGTGTGTGTGTACCTGTGGAAGGAAAGGGACTGCAGGTTTAGAGGTGGGGAAAGCAAGAGTAGGTGCTTCAGGTGTTTCAGGGCTCCGTACCGTGTCAACTGGTGTTGGGGTCACCTTTGGCTTCAACTGTGCATTGATGACTTCAAATACAGCTGGAAAGGGTCAGAAATGTTGAATCAAAACATTTGTAATGCAATTTCACTTTTTTACACTAGAGTTAAAGTATAAGCTCAGTAAGATTTTTTTATTTTTTTATTTTTTATTAATACTGTTGTTCAGAAAGGATGCATTTAGGGATTAAACTGTTACTGGTTTGATGATAAACCATGATAAAAAGTCTAAACGGTTATTATTACCATTTCATACTTAATTATCAATTGTCAAATTGTATTTTTAATTTTTTAAGGTTTATGAAAACAAAAAGTGCATAGTGCTGCTAATTTTATTTGTCATATGTTGGAAAATTCAGCTTTGCCCTTACAGCTATAAATTACATTTTAATCTGTTGAAAAGTTTGTAAATTGCAACAATATTTCCACAATATTACTGTTTTTACTGTATTTTGATTGAATTTAATGCAGCTTTTGTGAGCATAAGAGACTTCTTTCAAAAACATTAAAAATGTTTACCAAATCTAAACTTTTGAATATAAGTGTATCTGTAAAAGTATGAATTTTTTTTTTTTTAAATGAAAAGCATTTTTCTCATACCCATTTCCACAAGTTCAGAGTCAGTCATGGAGTCCTTGCCACTGGCTATGTGGTCAGAGAGGGGCGGTGGGACGATGGCGAGGTGTTTCAGAGTGCTGGGAGGGGCTGCCAGGCCACTGCAGGTTATCAGCTAGTTTAGCTCTCTCCTCCCGTGCTGTGGGGTCATCCCACACGATCTGCTCACTCTGGGACGGCTCAGTGTTCAGGTCCACAGCCACTTGACGTGACATCATGCCAAAACACAATCTTTTAACATGCAATCTTAAAAATGCAACTTTCATAAAGAAAAACTGATGCAACAGCTTAATGATAACCAGCATCTGATGCTCACAAATAAGACATATTAGAAACAGAAACAAGAACACATCCCGTGTCTACATTTCCTAGTGAACAACTAAAAACTGTGCTGTACAGATGCTACAAGCTTTGAGACAGTGATGGGATCAGAGAGAGTAATCTAGCTAGTAGGGGTGGGCGATATACCTGTAGACACGATTAACTGGTAGAAATGTGTCAACCGGTAGAGATTTTTGACTATTGCCTCTATCTCGGTTACACGCTTACTGTTGCTGTGCTACGTGGTCAAGAAAACTTATCGTTTGCATGTGTTTTTAAGCATTGCGGTTTAAAAACAAGTGAATTTAAGCCATTGAAATGCAATCAGCAGTGAACGAGAAATCATTTCACTATGTACGCACTGTCTGTTTATGAGCGCTGTCAGAGAGGCATGCTTATGTTAAGACGGTGCTCATAGAGCGTGGGAGTATTGAACTGAGTATCTTTGCCACTTTATAGGCCTTGAACGGTTAAATACACACACTTGTATGTAGGGATTCACGATATTGGATTTTGGCCGATATCCAATATTTTCAACTCATTTTGGCAGACAGCCGATGCCGATATATTTCCTTTTTTTTTTGGAAACGACACCAAGTCTCTACCGTGCAGAGATTATAAACGCGCTAGTGACTGTTGACTCTATCGCACACCGGACGCGTCATTCTGTACTTACATTCTCAGATTAAATGCGGCGATCCAAAACAGTCAATCTAATCACCATTCAGGCAAAAGTTGCTGCTGACGTGATCTTATCGCTAGCACACCCTGAGCACATGCGAGTTATTCGTCTTATCGGCACGGAATATTGGCATCATTTTTCATATCGAGTCGATGCCGGTTTTTATATTTTAAGCCTTTATCGGCCGATTCCGATAACGTTCTGATAATATCGTGCATCCCTACTTGTATGTGTCAAAATGCCCTTCTTTGCAAGTATCCTCGTAAACACATTAATTTAGGTCTTAAGTGAAAGCAAACAGTGGAGAAAGAAAACGCGTGTAGCAGTATATTGGATCTGGGCAGCTCTTAAAGTGACAGCAGTCTAATATTCCTGCAGTCTGTCATTCTTGTTAATCAAATAACAAAAGAGAGAAAATCTTGACTAAATCACTTTTGTAACTTTGATAAGAAGAAATATATTTAATTTACACAGTGAAGAATATGCAGTGTTTTATACATTTGATTACTTTATACAATGTACAGTATGTAGCATTTCTTAATTATTTGTTCTATTGTGGTTTTATTGTCCTATTGCTTGTAATTACTGTTTAATTGTCTTCAGTGACCTTGAGTTTTTTTTTTTTTAATTTAGGCTAGTATTAGTTTTCTGTGATATTGACACTGGTAACAAGTATTATGAAATTTTTATGGTATCAAAAATGTTGATATCATAAAGACCTTATTTAAGCAAAAACAACTACATCGTAATACATATTGCTACTGTGAAATAAAATTACTCATATCTAGGGTTGGGTATTGTTTGAATTTTATCAATTCAGATTCCAATTACGATTCTGCTTATCGATTCCAATTCTAATCGATTCCCATTTTCGATTCCAATGTGGTTAAAAAAAAATTAATTCAAACATTTAAATAACAAACATATTTATTCTCTTTTTGCAAAACATTTAGTTGTAACTGAATACCATGAACAAAAATCAGCAGGCTACATAAAAACTGGAGTCGATTAAGAGCTGTTTGTGTGCAAAATAGAGCTGCATAATTCTTGAAAAATTTAGATTTATTTTTTAAATACATAAATTACATGTGATTTTTTTAAAACAAAAATCACATGTAATTTATGAATGAATGATTCAATGACTCACATGAGATTAACTTTTCATTATTGGATGAATCAATGTTTTTGAACGAATCTCTTGAATGAATGATTCAAAGACAAATACATTTTTTACAGCTCCTTTTTACCACCTACTGGCGTAACAACGTAATCGCTAAATCTTTATTTGAAACGTCAAATTACTTTCAAAAGGTGATTTACTCTATTTCAATTGCTACCTTACACATCAGTGTTTATATCCAAACTATAAACTTTTATCCCCGTACTTCTGTGATTATTTAATGATTGTAACATAGAAATAATGATACTGCGAGGTTGAAAAGACTCTTTGTGAAGCTGTTTCATACATACACATGACAGCTGAGTGAGAGTGATGATCACACTGTTGTGATCGCACACGTCAAAGGTTTAACAGCTGAATCGTTGTAATTTAGGAATAAGATCACGTTGGTGTTTGAATTGTGTTCGCCATCTTTATCGATCTGTTTAATTAAAGTGCTTGTCATGTTGGTGGTGACAACTCTATTGCAACATATTAGCTTATCAAAAAATTATGCTTAGCAGTCACTTGCTGATCGCAAGTGTAGCCAAACACTGGAGCGCTTAGAATAGCGAGGAAGGTCCTGGCAGATCGCAGAGTTGGGTCCTCACAGAGGAAAAAAAAAAGAAAAGATGCACACACAGGAATCGATAGGCAGAATCAAAATTTTTATTTTACAAAAAGTATCCGATTCTGGAATTAGAATCGATTTTCGATTCCCAACCCTACTCATATTGTGCTATAAGATTTTGGTCATATCGCCCACTCCTACTAGCTAGTTGTTTTGTACTGTAGGGCCTCTAAAGTACGGCTGCATCTTCCCATTCGCCCCAGGCTGTCCGGGGTATGGGGTGAGTCTAGTCCCCCTGAGCCTGTTCTTGCCAACCGCGAGGAGACTCGACGACCGCTGGTCAGTTTAGTAGCAGACATGATCTCCTGAAGTTGCCTTTGAAGACCCTCTCTCATCTCAAGTGTTTCTGTGAGATCTGAGGGAGGGAGAAAATGAGCTTTAGATCAGTCAGAGACAAACACAGAGATTTAATACATGAATCAAAGACACATCTTTAAAGATGACTCACTTCTCTCAGTGCTGACGGTCTGATCTTTCTCAGCCTCTCCCACACTGACACACTGAGAGGTTGAGATGTCTGTGATGTTGTCAACGGGGCTAAGCTTAAAAATAAATAAATAAATAATTTATAGCAATATATACTAGGGCTGAAACGATTCCTTGAGTAACTCGAATACAAATTATTTGACTCGAGGCTTCGTTTAGTCCATTTACTGTAACTACACACGGAACACTGTGTTTCCCCACGGATCATTATTACTGATGCACAAACTGATAAATGCTGGACATTTAAGACTGTAAATCAATATGGTGGCTAGTTAGGATGTCCTTAAGTTAGCTATGTTTTGTGAAAGACTAAGCGCCATTCATGTTGATTGTCTCATTCTCTCTCTGACACACACACACACTCTTCATAGAGTTATGCATAAAAATACCACAAAAAGAAAGTTAGTCAATATCACACGAAGAGGTGAAAGACTAAGCGCCATTGTGTATAAAAAAATACCACAGAAAGACAGTTAGTTAATATCACACGAAGAGTGCCAGTTTTCACCTCTAAAAATCAGCATGATTACAAATGTGATACTCATTTTATACAACAGCTCAATAAACAATAAGTTAATATTAAGATACTTACGTTTTAGACACCATATTGCCTGTAGTGCTCTATTTCGGCAACAAAAATTATTCCAAACACAGCCACAGCGCTGTTTTGCGTCTCTGAGCAACATGAGGGCGTTTCGTTCCTGAATGAATCAACCGTTTTAAATGATTCGGTTCAGTCTCAATGACTCACTTATTAACAGTGACTTGCTGCCACCTACTGGCGGTTTTAATTTCACATTTAAAATATCTTTTCATTTTTAAAATAATTGTAAATGTCGGTATCAATGTTTCATGTTTAAAATAACAAAATATTATTTATGCATTTGTAACTGCAGGTTAAATGCATTCATGTCCCTCTGAGCTAAATTAAATAGTGTAAATAGGCCTACATCGAAATGCCTCTTCAGATGCAGCTTCTGTGTTTCCTCTGCATTGCAAAGATACATTTTGTTGATACTGATATAATTTGTTTGGTAACAGCCCAAATGTCTTATTATTCTAATTGACTGATTACATGTAAGAATTTGACTCAAAAGATGACGCACACTTTTATAAAAAAAAAAATAAATAAATAAAAAAAAGGCTTTATAAAGGTAAAAATGCCCATAAAATGTAAAAATCAATTTAAACTTATTGGAACAGATTAATTTCTATCACTGCTGTGAACTGACTAGTTCACAGAATATGAAGGATATCAAAAACAGGTTTTACACACATTTAACACAGACATTTAAGAGGGTTTATTCTCCAAATAACTCAAATTTCATGTTGCAGAAAAGTGTTTAGAAATTGTGTATGGACTCTTGTGCTTGTTCCAAGTTACCTTCCTGTCCACTGGTTTTTGCCTCTTACAAAAGCAACAAAGCCTTCCAAGAAGACAGTAAAGGCTTATGTCATGCTTGAGCTTTAGTTAGGCTGAAACTTGAAAGTTAAAGGGTTAGTTCACCCAAAAATGAAAATTCTGTCATTAATTACTCACCCTCATGTCGTTTCAAACCTGTAAGACCTTCGTTCATCTTCGGAACACAAATTAAGATATTTTTGATGGAATCTGAGAGCTGTCAGACCCTGCATAGACGGCAATACAACTGAAATGTTCCCAAGTTCAGAGAGGTAGAAAGGAGATCTGTAAAATAATCCATGTGACATCAGGGGTTCAACCGTAATTTTACGAAGCTACGAGAATCATTTTTGTGCGCAAAAGAAAAAAAACGAATGACTTTATTCAACAATTCATCTCCTAGTAATTAATGACAGAATTTTCATTTTTGGGTGAACTACCCCTTTAAGTTGCACGACATAAATGCAATGTTTAGGTATTATTATTTTTATTACTATTATTTTGATTTATGCCTTAGTTTTGGTTTGTACCTTTTTATCTTTTTTCAAGTAATGTGAAATTGATTTTTATATTTCTTGATTTATGCCTTAGTTTTAGGTTGTAATGTTTACCTTTTTTAAAGTAATGTGAAATTGATTTTTGTATTTTTATTTATTTATTTTATTTTTGATTGATATATTTGTATTTGCATTTTGAATGTACTTTGGCAATTAAATGCATTAAATGGGTTTAGTTTTAATGGTAATTAATGTATGCAATTTCAGCAGTAAAACATTTATTTTTCTAAAAAGGAAACAAATTAGTTGTTTATTTTAAGAGACCTATCTTATTTTCTTTTGTATATCTCATATTGCTCTTTAATAAAGAAAAATAACTTCTTATCCGACTACTTGATTAATCGATGGAATAATCGGTAGAATACTCGATTACTAAAATAATCGATAGCTACAGCCCTAATATATACATTACATACATACATCATACATACATATTTGTACATATATATATATATATATATATATTAGGGCTGCACGATATATCGAAATTATCTAAATATCGCAAATGTAAATATCGCAATATGCATATCGCAAGGGTGTGCGATATCGGAATCATTTTAATAATAGGCTACTTAAATCAAAACGTGCAAAAGGTCAAAGTTTTAGTTCAACGGAAGCGCGCGTACAAGCCGCATCTCGCACAGCGTCTCTTCAGTTCTGCCACACACGTGCAAAGCGCACACACACACACACACACACAGGGAGAGAGAGGAAGAGAGAGAGAGGCGTGTTTCAGACGGCCAGGTTTGGAACGACATGAGGGTGAGTAAATGATGACAGAATTTTCATTTTTGGGTGAACTATCCCTTTAAGAAGGACTTCAGTGAACTCTTTGAAACACTTCGAATACTTAAAAGTTCAGTCGTTCATCGGTGGACCACTCCCAGCAAGGGGAACTAATATGTTTTCACGTTTGCTTGGCCTGAACACATGGCTACAAAGAATCTGCAGCTTAAAAGGAGTCAATTTCATCGACAACTTCAATCTTTTCTGGGGCCATAGACAACTGTTTAAACTGGATGGCCTCCACCCAAACAAACTTGGTGCAAGAGTACTTAAGGACAATATCTACTTCTCCCTCCATCATCCTTCAGCAGAGTGTGTCTGTACGGCTGACTCATCTAATCTGCGGCCTGTTATGCATCAAACTAATATTGCTGTTGAGACAAAATGCAATGCCATCAAGTTAGCATTTTTAAACATTCGCTCACTAAAAAAAGAAATCATTTCTAATCAATGACTTAAGTAGAGCCCGACCGATATATCGTTTTGCTTATATTATCGGCCGATATGAGCCTGTCGCCGATATATCGGTATCGGCGAATATGCCGCCGATATGAATTTTTTTTTA